TAAAATAAGCAAATAGAAAAAAAATACCAATTACTAAGCTTGTTTTATAATATTGTCAATATTGCTATTTACAAGTATGTAAGTTCTTATTTTACTATGCATATTCTCAATATAATAATTGTTAAAGTTAACTAAAAATAATTTTACAGCTTCAGCAAAAGGATGATTTGTATCTTGCCAATAAAAAATGTCTGATAAGAAGGCTAATGATGCTTTATTGTAATTATATCTTTTTCATCGAAGTGCAAATGTTCATATTCAAAAAATTGTTCTATATACTCATTAAATAAGTCTGATCGAAATAGAATTGAATACACATCTAAAGTTGCTGGAATTATATTGTCTAATAGATTGATAACCATATAATATTCAATATCTTTGCAGATATTTTCAAATTTTGTTATAATAGTATCTCTAATTTTATACTATCCATTATATGCTAAATCAAGTAGCAAATTTATTCTTCAAGGTTTAAGTTTCTTTGCCAATATCTTTCTTTTACCAAATATAAAATGAAACAATTTTTGAAAGAAGATATAATATATAATTAATACATGGAAGTGTTTTTAAGAAAATCAGGTTTTGAGAAATTTTTGACTAAAATTAAGAGTTTAATACATTTTAATCTAATAAAATCAAAAATTAAAATGCAATAAAAATCTCAATTTTGCTAAAAAATTCCTGGAACCAGATTTTCCTTGCAATCAACCCACATGTTCTCTACTATTTAGAGAAATATGAAGAGGTCCTAAAATTGAAATAAATGAATTAATCTCGGGTGATATTAAATATTGTGAATTTGCTTTATGCAAATTTGTTATTGCTTTGCGAATAAATAATTGTCCAGGTTAATCTGCTACTAGTGGTACAATATTATTATGTAAGTATCCAGTATCTTTATTAATATCTAAGATCATTTGTAATGCTTTTATATAATCATTCATAGAATGCAAATTCTTTTTTTGAAATCCAATTAATCGTACTCCTTTCATTGAACGTTCTTCTTTTCTTTCAGCAATTGCATTATTATAACAATGCATTGTAAGTAGATCAATTTGATTAAAGATATTATTAGCTAATTGTCCATTAGTAAGCTATTGGGTTTTACGATTGGTATATGCAATATCAAATATTCTATGATATTCATAAATTAATCGAAAACATATATTGCTTGCATTAATGTTTATTGGATTATAAACTGACACATTATTAAATACAATAGGTATCAGTGCACAATTTGAAACCTGTTTATAAATACAAGTGACCATGTGGTTAGCAGTAGATAAGGTTATAGTATTGGGTCTTCTTTTTTCATGTATATCATAATAATTATCTAGGTTATAGATGTACAAATGGTCATTCTATTTGTAATTAAATTTTGGTTAATAAAAATTTTTTAAAAAATTTTTTTTTAATTTTATTTACATTTTTTAAAAGAAATTTTCTAATGTTCATTTATAAGTTTTTATTTAAAATTATTAACTGTTGTATAATAAGCAAAAAATCTAATACTATTTATTATATTGATTGCATTACATATTGATCCTGATGCTGATAAAAATAATCTAATTTCTAATTTGAAATCATTAACAAACTTATTTCACATTTCAGCCATAATATAATATAAGCTCACAATTATTTTTCTTGCTTCAATTATTATATGCAAATCTGTTATCAGAAACTAATGCCTTTACTAATTTATCAAAAAGGCCTTGTAAATGCAGATTTACTACTTTAATCATTTGTTTAAAATGTGTAGGATTAAGTTCTAAATTACCACACTACTCATATAAAACCTTTATAAGTATAATAATCTGTTTGATAAATGAATAACTTTTTAATTCTATATACAGTATATAAAAATTATAATATAATTAGTTGTAAAAATAATAAAATTGAAGCTATATTCTCGATCTAAGTCTAATTATTATATAAATAATTATAAAAAAGTTTAGATGATTGAGTGTAACTCTGATTTTATTATTTTTGCGGCTAACTAATTATAATTTTATATTTACTGTACAATGTGTTATATTTTCGTCAACTTTTAAAAAAAGAGGAATTTCTGACTTATGCTTCTGATAAGATTTAACAATGCTTATATAATGATTATGATACAATTGTTGTCTGATTCTTAAATATGTTAGATTTCTAAAAAATGCAAAAATGATGCTTGAATCAAAAGACTTTGAAATTTTAAAGGTCAGGTATTATTTCTTTTATTTAACCAAGAGAGCTCCAGTTAGTTAACGCACTGATTCAGAAGTATTAGTCAACATTCTGATCTAAGTGATGATAGTGGCATCTCTAATCAGCTAACATCCTGATTCAAGAGTATCAATCAACATCTTAAGCCTTACCATTGCGAATCTATATTTTTTTATTTGAAGTTTCTATTTACTATCAACTAAAATCAGTTGTTTTATGATTAATTTTTATTATTATCAAATTTAATATTCATATATAATAGGTAGATTCTGAATATTTAAAATAAAGATTAAAGACCTATTGGAAGAATGTTATTCATAAACAAAAAAAAATTCGTTTGGTCTTAAATATCATTATTTTCCTTTATTAATCCTATTAAGATGCTATAAATCTAGATTAATATGCAATTAGTTTAATGTGAAAAGCACCTATATTCTTAAAAGTCTTAATATTTTAGATAAAGCTGGAAAATATAATATTGAAGATTTATTCTCTGAAGAATTTTCAAATTCTTTTTCTGTTAATATAACACCTACATTCAAACATACTTTTAATGGTTCTAACTCAACCTTATCTCAAGAAAATAAGAAGGTTGGTACAAATTGTAACTTATATATAATTCAAAAATATTATTTTAATTTTTTGCTTGAATATTTGTGTATATAGACCAAAACTGGTAAAAATAAAAAAGAATTGGTCAAAGAAACTATTATTCAAGAAAATATTTTGCATTCTTAAGGGATGAGAAGATTTTAGCCAAACATATTAAATTTGTTAATATTAATATCCATTTTATTGATCTATCTATTTATCCTATCATATTAAATGAAATTTTAAATATCAATAATGGATTAAATAAAACTCTAAGACAATAATTCATGGTTGAAACAATAGGAGTTTATTTTGAGGTTTACAATTGTTTTTAAAATATTTCAATCTATAAATCCTTTCTTTTTTCTTTTTGAAAAATATCTTACATCTAATTTTGCTAACTTAGCCAATAGAAAGAGAAAGAATAAGAAAGGGTCAAATGACATTAAAGTTGAATCACTGTTATACTTTAAAACATTTAAATTTGAATTTGATTTGTCAATTTTATATGCAAAGGATGACCAAACTTCAAATATGAAATTAAATGTTGCTAATTCAAGTAGTCATGATGAAATAGTAAAAAATCTTTCTTGATATAGCAACTTAGATGAAACTCAAAGTAATTAATTATATTTTATATTAGAACACTAAAAGAAAACTTTCTTTTTTAAGTATTTGTTATAAAGCTAGTTATACTTTTTTATTATTATTTAAAACTTCATAATTTAGTAAATGTATTAGTATTTATGAAATTATTTTAATTAAAAATCTACCTAGTATTAGGAAAATAGTTATTAGTATTAAAATAATGAAAATATTATTAGCTAAAGAAAATCAAAAAGTAAGAATTGATCTTATTTTTACTATATGCTTTACCAATCATGCTCTTGATTAATTCTTGGAAGTACTTTTATATAATAATTGATTTGTTACCTATACAATAAAATTATTCACTTTTTAACTTTTTTTTTATTTTACATTCATAGCATTTGCTTAATGAAAGTATAACAAATATTGTTAGATTAGATTCACATACAAAATCAAAGGGTTTAGCTTGAAAGAAGTCTGTAAAAATCATATTCAAAATGGAAAGTAACCATATTTTATATCAAAATTACATTAATCATTAGAAAAAATTGAATAAAAAATTACTGAAATAAGAAATATTTTACATTAAAGGTGGTTGAAATGGGCTGATATACAAGAATATCTGATGACTGAATATAAATTATTTTATAATAAACTTCATCATATTTGTTATAATAATTTGGGCTTTAAAAACTAATGATAACTTTAGGTTTATTCAAAATAGACGGAAGAGAAATTTGACTATATTTGAAAAATAGAGAAACAGAGAGGATATTGAAGCAATAAATAAGAGAAAAGCAATTTTGTCAAAATTTCAAAAGAAAAAGAAGAAGTGTAATAATTATAATTGATATAATGTGTTAAGAGAAAATGAAGAAAGTGAGAAGAATACAAGTATTAATAATGGACAAACAACTATAAAACTATATAATAGATCAATAATTATAAAGAATTGAATATCATTCATCCTTTAAGTGTATTATTAAATGATTATTCAATTTGAAATATATTAAGTACAGAAAGAAAAAAACTTTATGATCATTAGCATATATAGATTCATTATGAATTTATAGTAAACCTATCAAATTTACAAAGGAGATATAATGAAAACTTAAAGAAATGTGCAATATTTATGATAAAGAAAATCACTAAGCATTATTGAATAATGATATTATTGGTATAACTACAAAGAGAGTAGCCAAATTTCAAAATTTAATTATATTCATTTCATTAGAATGGATATACAGAGGGTTATCAAAAGTTTTTGAACGATTTTTTATGCAATATAAAACATTTAATTTTTAAAACTCAATAAAAAATCTGTATTATAACTTTATTTTATGGGTATTAAAGATTACTTTTCGTACTATTAAACTAGTATTTAATTGGTCACCTTCTACCACAATCACTGCCTGAATTCGTGCTGGCATACTATTGACTAAATTTTCAATTACACATTTTGGAATTAATTTCTATGCATTTTTAACATCCTTTTCAAGATCAGCAAGGGTAGGTAGAATCAGTTTCAGCATGCCTTTTTAATGTGTCATATACTGTTATTTGCTACATCTAATAGTTCTGTAATTTTACTATATGAATCATCATTTTTATGACAAAAAATTATCGCATCTCGTTATTCTGCAGTTAATTCGTTATTTTTTCCATTGTTGTAGTTGTAGCTGTAAGTTGCAAAAAAGTGAAGGGAAATTTGAAGTTAAAATGTTATTTAAAGCAAAATAAACAAATAAACAAACATAAATGTATGTAAACATTACC